TCTCTCTTTTTTTTTCTCTTCTCTTTTTTTTTTTTTTTAATTTAAGAAACTAAGTTACTAAGCTATATTCTTCTATCAATTTCACCTTTCACTACCCTCTCTTTGATCTTTTCTCTCTTAATCTTTAGAAAAAGAAGGGTCGGGGGCAACCCCTAACTTTTCATGGTTCTTCATCTTATTCCATTCAACGGTTTTCAGCCACATGGGCTGGATTAACGACAACAAATTTGTGATTCAGGCTTTCTTTTTTTTTTTTCCCCCTGTCTGTGTGTGTGTTTCAGGCTTTCAGTATTTTCTTTTCCTTCTTTCTTTTGTTTCAATTTGGACAATTTCCTAGGCTGTTTTTCCCGGTGCCCGGGCATCCAACTTATGCCCGGGTGCCCGGCCGGGCATGACTGCCGGGCAGGGTTCCGGGTAGCCCCAGCGCAAAAATAATAAAAATAATAATAATAAATCCGGGAAGAAAAATTGTTGTGTAGAATTGACATACAAACGACTTTTGGCAGTTTCCAGAAATAGCACAATGGCAGCATCCTGTAAATGACGGGGCATCATGACGTCATTCCAGCTTCCAGAAATAACGCATGACATCATCCTCCTAAGTGACACGTGGCATCAGTTCAACATGCGAACTTTCCTACAAAACTGCCACGTGGCATCATAATGTGACGACACAACTGCCACGTCGCATCTTAGCGTGATGACACAACTGCCACGTGCCATCATAAGCTGCCACGTGGCATAATACTGTGACGCACAGCTGCCACGCGGCATCATAATGCGACGACACGGCTGCCACTTGGCATCATAATGCAACGATTCAACCGCCACGTGGCATCTTAGCGTGACGACACAACTGCCACGTGCCATCATAAGCTGCCACGTGGCATAATAATGTGACGACACAGCTGCCACATGGCATCATAATGTGACGACACAGCTGCCACGTGGCATCATAATGCGACGACACGGCTGCCACCTGGCATCATACCGCAACGATTCAACTGCCACGTGGCATCATAATGCGACGACACAACTGCCACGTGGCATCATAATGTGATGAGACAACTGCCACGTGGCATCATAATGTGATGACACAACTGCCACGTGGCATCATAATGTGATGCACAACTGCCACGTGGCATCATCATGCGACGAGACAACTTCAACGTGACATCATAACGTGACGGAAACTGCCACATGGTATCATAGTGTAAGGACACGTGTCGAAAAAAAAGAACACCCACGACGTTTTCGACTGATCTCTGCTCGTAATTGAGACGAGAAACATCCAGGTCGGCCCGTGATTGAAATCATATCAAGCCACGGCGGGCAGTGACTGTAAACAAGACCCCTCCGGAAAAGTCCTATGTACGGACTGTTTGCTCTGAATCCCTTTTCTGTGCTAATTTAGGATGACGTCACACAGCGCACGCTCATCATGCGTGTCTACAAGGAATCTTTCCTCTCTGATAGAATAAAAAGAGAAGGGAGGAGGGGGGGGGGGGGGGGGGG